TGTAATAATAATAGTAATAACAACCCATGGTAGTAGTGTCATTTCATATGTTTTCCCCTTCTCAAATTCATTGAATTGTCCCATGAATTGCAATTCAACGAAAGGAGGGGATTGCAATTCTGTGGAATTGCAATTCCCTCCAACCAAACAACGTAATTGAGGCATCCATTGAATTGCAATTCAACTACAGCTAAATTACAGTGAACCAAACGCCCTGTTAATGGCCATTGAACTGTTTTGATTTACCACTCCACAATCCTGTTAGATCGAGATATTTTGTGGGCAAGAGATCACAGTGAGAGTTTTACTCTCTTTTGAGGTGGCTCCTTGTGGGTCAGAACTGGTCCTCTCACCTAATGAGCGTTGAATTGTCTTGATTTACCCGAGGTATTTTGTGGGCAAGAAATTTCACGATAAGAGCCAGAATAATAATGATGTAAGACATCAGAGGTGGATGAAAATTCATGTTTTAATTAATGATTATTTAGTGAGTTGATGCATGTGTTCTTCCTTTATTAGATGGAAATTAGCTACATTGCTATCAGACATGAGTCAAGTGGCTGCAGATTTTTCATGGGACTGTGACTGCTGCTGACTGGATAAATCCAGAGCCTCGGAAAAACAACATTAATACTAGGAGGAAAACTAGGAGGGATTTGGTGAAGTTAGTTGATGCCTTTTTTCATCTTTAGTAAAGAATTACATCTTAATTTCGAGATACTTAAAAGTAGATCAATTTCTTAGACGGTTGTGGGTCAGACAAATTATTATATTTTAATATCGAATTTCAAAGCAGCACATTATATTTTAAAATTTTCACCCAACTGATCAGCGCGTCTAGGCATCTAGCATAGTTTGTCATCACCATGCACTGCTGGAAATTATGAAATTTTCGACCACCTGAAAGTGATCTTAAATCAAGTCGAAAGCCTTGTTCCGACCACTTTTGGTATTCGGAAAAATCTTTGTTGCTATTTCCGACCACTTTTTGCTTTCGACTTGATTTAAGATCACTTTCAGGTGGTCGGAAATTCCATAATTTCCAGTAGTGATGGTTGGACCACTGTAAAGCGCAATAGTTACATTTATCCTACTTGTTCAACATTATACTTCGATTCTGTTTTCACCGTCCCGGTTTGTGCTGCCTTAAAGTCTTAGTGGAAGAGGTAAATTGCGGATATGGTGGCTACACATCATTAGGTTGTCTGGTCTGAACACTATTACTGTCTTGTCTGTACATGATCCAACAGTGTCAACCACAAAATTAAGTGCAACAATGACTGACCATCCACCTGCAAGCTAGAGCCATGAAAGGTAGAGAATGTTATGTTTTACTTTGAAATGAAATGAAACAGAATTAGAAGATTGTTTTGCCAGCCCCACAGGCCACGGGTAACTCAGTTGGTTCTAAGTAGTAAATTATGGATGAGAACTCAGGATCAATCCTGATAATCGCAGTCTGAGAGCGGGCATCAGGTACGGACCCTCCCATCCACCTAAGAGGTTGAGTCCATAAGCTAACAAAACAAACAGTCATAATAAGCTGTTCTTTCATTAAAGCAACAAAAAGATTCATTAATTGATTCATGTAAAGCACAAAAACATTGGTGGAGGGTACAACATATATGCATGGATAGAAGAAACTTCAGTAAGGAAACATTTAGAACTATTAAACACAAAAACAAAAAAACAGAAATCCAGAAAAGATGGAAAGTAATCTTGTGTGGAAATCCAGAGTAATTAAGAAACTGAAAGTTCCTAAACATTATTACAATTTCCTTAATCAACTTTCAGAAATTTCTTAAAATCTACTGGAGAAGCTTTTTAGAGAAAGGGTATATTTGAGAAAGTTGTGAACTTAGGGTGATGATAATAAAATTTAGAAAGTATATGGTGCACTTACCATACTAATGATGTAATTGTTTTAAAAAATGAAATAAGGAAAATAATTACTATTATTTAAGGATATTTGTATTTAGATAAAAAGAGAAAAGTGCACTTTAATGTCGTCCTATACTTTCAATTTTTTAAATGAAGTTTTTTTAAAATTATTTATTGAGTTGTAAACATAACATTCACTTAATAAAATTATATAAGGTGTCAAAGTGAGTCAAAATCTGCAGGCTGGTCCGCACCCGCTCCACGATGGGACGGATAGTGCCACAAAAAAGTGGCTCACGAATATGCGAACCTAACGGACATGGCAAATTATGCCCTGGACCTGTGTCCACAGTGAATTGTGGACACGGGCCCAAAACGACGTCGTTTTTAAAAAAAAAACGCGTCATTTAGTTTTAAAAAAAAAATTCGCGCGCGTTTTGCCGTTAACGGCGTTATTTTTTTTTGGATTATGAATGTACAGTTATGCCGTTATGAATGTACAGTTATGTAATTATGAAATTATGAACACAGAGCTCTAACATTATGAACTTACAGTTATGAACATATATAGTGATAAAATTATGACCATGGAACTTTAAAATTGTGAATATAGAGTTTCGAAGATTATGAATGTACAGTTATGGAGTTATAAATCTACAGTTATGGAGTTATGAATCTACAGTTATGAGATTATGAATCTACAGTTATGGAATTATGAATGTACAGTTATTGATCGAATTATAAACAAAGAGCTCTAACATTATGAACTTACAATTATGAACATATAGTGATAAAATTATAAACATAGAGCTCTAAAATTGTGAACATAGAGCTTCGAAAATTATGAATGTACAATTATAGAGTTATGAATGTACAGTTATGGAGTTATGAATGTACAGTTATGGAGTTATGAATGTACAGTTATAGAGTTATAAACGTACAGTTATGGAGTTATGAATGTACAGTTATTAATAATATAGTAATAAAATTATGAACATATACTCCTATAACGAAGCGGTCTACAATTTAAAAAAAAAAAAAAAAAAAAAAAGAAGAAGAAGAGATAACAGTGCCTAACGGCACTGTTACCCGTGTCCAGCAAGCATGCTGGACACGGGTCCAACGCATAACGATTGAACGGACATGGCTCCTTTTTCACCTGCAACCTGCACGGGATGCGGGCCAACCCGTGGGCCCAACCTTTAAATAAATAAAGAGTTAATACCCAAAATCGTCCTCGACTATAGTGGTTTTTCTCAATTTCATCCTAAACAACTTTGGTGACCTAATATCGTCTCAGACTTTTGTGTTTCGCTCAATTTAGTCCTCCATTTGTTATTTCGTCAAATTGGTGTTAAATTAAGGGACAATTCAGTAATGTTAATATTGATCTCTCTTTACTTTCAACTTGTGAAGTGCGAAATTCCTCTTTCTGGTACGAATTACACCCAGAATTACTCCTGGACCTGCAAATCAAATTTTATATTCGCAGTTTTAGGAGTAATTCTGGGAGTAATTCGTAAAAAAAAAAAAGAATTTCGCAGTTCACATGTCTATAAGTAAAGAGATGCCAATATTAAAATTACTGAATTGTCTATTTATTTAACACCAAATGGACAGAATAACAAATGAGGGACTAAATTGAGCAAAAACACAAAAGTTTGGGACTAAATTGAGCGAAACACAAAAGTCTGGGACGATATTAGGTCACCAAAGTCGTTTAGGACGAAATTGAGAAAAACCACTATAGTCGAGGACGATTTTGGGTATTAACTCAATAAATAAACTAAAGATAGTGTTGTGCACTTGTGCTGTCTATAGACTGCTCTCTACGTGACTCTGTCCGGCCACTCCAAACCCCCTCTCGCCCACAGGTCACAACTCTAAAGTCCGAATCGGAGAAAATGGCTTCCCACGGTTTCTCGTTTATGTTTGTATAATTGTGTCTAAATAGAAATGTGTTCTGATTTGGTTGAATATATAAACTAGAAAAGTGTAGTAATTTGTTTAATAATAATAATAATAAGAATAATTTAAAAATTAAAACAACCCGCGAGCTGGCCCACTAACTTGCGTGGGACGGGTTAGGATAACCTAAACGCCCGCGGGCCAACCTGCAAAAGCCAGCAAATCATTAGGCCCGCAGTAGGGTGGGATTAATGGGGCAGGCTAGCCCGTTTTGACAGTACTACTCCATATATGGAAGTATGTAAAGTTTTATGATAGTATTTATGTATTTTACAAAGTTTTTTTTTTCTGGTGACAATTCCAATTCATTCCGCATCGATTGAGTTTTTTATTTTATTTCATTTTTATGGAGCGTTATGCTGTGCACCATGCAAGGTGTACACGGAATTGGATCCATAATTTCTATACTGTAGATTCATAATTTCTAAACTGTAGATTCATAATTTCTATACTATAGATTCATAATTTTTAAACTGTATAGTTATCAAATTATGAACATATAGTTCAGTGATTTGGGAATACAGAGTTCAACAATTAGGAATCTGAACATTGAAAATTATGAACATAGAATTTTGTAATTGTGAATATAGAGTTCAATAATTATGAATCTATAATATAGAAATTATGGATATATAGTATAGAAATTATGGATCTAATTTCGTGTGCAGCATGCATGGTGCACACAGTTGCACAGCATAATTTGCTGTTTTGTATACCCATTGTGTGTTAAAGATGGGGATGGGAACTAAAAGTATAAGGGCAGCCGGGTGGTGGATGTAATCAGCACCGACCCATTGCCATCATTATCGGGTCCAAACTTAGAGTTTTTGTATGTGATAAGTAATATTTTGTCATGATTTTGCTTCTTAATTTGTGCTCTAATTGATTAATTGTTGACAAGTTTTGCGGTAGATTATACTCTTAATTGTTTGTTTTTGGTTTGTAGGCTATGATAGAGAGACATGAGTGGATCGAACACTAAAAGTGTGTGTTTTTGTAATTTTGTTGTTGTAATTAATTGCTATCATATCCAAATTGACTGAAATTAATTTATAATTCGTTGGGCTATTAGGTCCAATATGCTTAATTACTATGCAAAAGGGCACAAATTAAACTCAACATTGACAATCAACAATTTTTTTTTTCTAAACAAAAATATATAAATACTATTTTTGTTATATTATTAAAAGTTTCCCAATTTTTCCAATATTATTGCTAATATTTAATTCTGTCTATAAGCTATATAATCTGCAAAAGCAATCAAAGGCGCTGCCTTTTTCTGATCGAACTCAACGAGCTGTTCTTTAGCCTCTCCGTTCAACTTCTCTGCAAATTCCCTCGCTTTTTCCAATCCCAGAAGCTTCGGGTAAGTCATCTTATCGGTGACGAGGTCTTTTCCGGCGGTTTTTCCGAGCTCTTCAGAAGATTTCGTGACGTCGAGGATGTCATCCACCACCTGGAAAAGAAGGCCGATGCACCTCGCGAATTTTCTCAGTTTCTCCACCTCTTCGTGGGTCCCGCCGCCGAGAATGGCGCCCAGAACGACGGAGGATTCGAGCAGAGCGGCGGTTTTGTGAATGTGAATGAATTCGAGTTCGTCTAGGCCGACGTTGGGCTTTCCGGTGCACTCGAGATCGACGACTTGCCCGGCGACGAGCCCTTCGGTTCCGATCGATTTCGCGAGCTCGCCGACGGCGGAGAGGATTCGGGACGGGGCGGGGCCGGCGGTGGCGGTGGACAAGAACTCGAAGGCGTAGGAGAGGAGAGCGTCGCCGGCGAGCACCGCCACGTTCTCGCCGAACACCGTGTGGTTGGTGGGCTTGCCGCGACGCATGTCGTCGTTGTCCATACAGGGCAAGTCGTCGTGGATTAGGGACATGGTGTGGATCATCTCCACCGCGCAGGCGGCGGCCATGGCGTCCGACTGCTTCCCGCCGACGAGCTCGCACGCCGCGATACACAGCATGGGGCGCACCCTCTTCCCGCCGGCCAACAAAGAGTACCTTCAAGAATTTTCCATATTCAAGTACATATATAAGTTATTTAGTCAATATAATATACAATTTAATTTAGAAAAAATATTATATATACTTCCTATTTTTTTTCTTGTTGTCAAATTCTTGACGTGAGCACATTTTGTGACCAACATAATAAAAATAATCTATTTTGAATTTACTAGATTCTAAGCAAACCCCAAACTAACTAGATAAAATATACTAGATCATCTAATATTCAAAAGGAAAATGGTACATATATTTCTATTCAAGATTCAGGTCTACTATTTAAGAGACAACACATCAATAAATAGTGGTCAAAATATTTTGATAATGAAAACTTTCATTACTACAAAGTTAGTCTTAACCCAAATGGATAGTTTAAGTGACAAATGAACTTTTCTGTGTGAGGACAATTCTAAAGGTAATCCAAATTTAATTTCTACACGTGACGATTCTACATGGACCAATTTCTATGTCTCCCAGAGTGAACAAGGCTTGATTTACACAAAAAAAAAAAAAAAATTACTCACTCTAACCTATTTTACCTGTCTTACTTTCCTTTTTAATTTGTCCCAAAAAAAATTACTCACTCTAAGTTTTCAAAATTGAACATAACTATCACTCTACATTTCTTAATTTATACTTTTTGACTTTTCAAATTTTCAAGATAAGTACAATTGTACTTTATACAAATAACACATATTTTTGAAGTGTAAAATTAAAAAACTTTGTAATATTACATTAAAAACCGTGCAAAAAGTAAATAAGACAATCAATTAGTAACGGAAAGAATATACCTCATAGTGATTTAAGTTTCATTATGTTTATGTTGATATACATTTATATGTAACAGTACCTCATTGCCTCATGGATGGTCGGAGGGTTCTTGACGGAAACCGCCTCATCCAGCGCCTTGTTGACCATACACGCCTTTTCCTCCATGTACGCCACGAAATCGAAGCTCCGATCCACACTGACCCTCACACCCTCCTCCGGCTTCACCAGAACCGCCGAAACACTAAAACCGGAAATGGGTGTTCGCCGGAGTTTCAAGAACCTCTTGGGTTTCACCAAAGGATTGCCGGCGAAGCACTCATACGGTGGGGCGGTGGTTGTCCGGGTCCAAGAATTCACAAGATTCATCGCCCTCATCTTCTGAGACTGGGAATTCCAAATGCTTTCAATGGCGGATTGGGGAAAGTGAAAAAACAGAGAAAAGTTGCAGTGACGTTTTGGCGGTTGAGAAATGGACACATGGGCAGTGTGTCAGAGTGTGTGTGTATATATATATATAGAAGGTCCAATGGAGGATGGAGGTGGCCCTGGCCCATGAGATGAAGATAGGGTTTTGGATCAAAAAAGTGTGTGTGTATCAGTGTATGTATATGCCTATTTATTGTATCGTAAATGATGGATGACGTGTGATGTGAGGAATGGGCATTTGGGGAATGGGGGGCAATTGGGATATGCACTTTGATTCCACATTTACCAAACACCAATAGAAACTCGAAAGCCACCCTTAATAATAAAGCAAAAGCTCTTCAACTTCTTTTAAATTTAAATTCAACCTTAAAAAATTGGTTATGAATAAGGAAATTAGTCAAATTTAAGGATATTAAGGCGGACAACCACATTGTGCTTAGATGGCAAGTATGTGTACTCTATTAGGTTAAGAAAATATGTCTGTTTCATTAGGTTGAGAAAGAATGTTTGAACAGATACTACAATGTAGTAGAGTCAGTAGTATTCAAAAAAAAAAAAAAGCCGACAAGGTTTATATAGTGTACATTCTGATTGTGAGTTTTTCTCGTCACTAAAAAAGAGATAATAATATTAAATAGTAGTAAATTTGTACCATGTCTTATAACTTTGTAAATTTGTGAAGTATATTTTGTCAAATGTATATAGGTGGGGGTATAATTTTGTAAAGTTCAAATTACACTAGCTATATTATTGTTGGGGTTATAAAACCTGACCTAGCCTGAGAGTCTAAATATTATCAACCCATTTATTATTCAAGGGAGGCATATGCCTAACGCACAATAGTCCAGCACATGGCGGCAATACCCAAATAACATTGCATACATGTGCACGAGAGAAGCTATGGGGTTTGAGGAGGTGCGCTATACTCATGTTTACAGAGAACAAAACCGGGTTGCTGACAAGCTGGCGTCCATGACGACTCTACACCATAGTGGCTTGCATAGTTTAGAGACGCCACCACGAGGAATAGAAGATTTAGTTGCCCTTGACAGGGTTGGAGCTGCGTCCTTTCAACGTATCGATCATCCTAGAGCGGTTTATGCAGCGTAGATGAGTTGGGTATCCCCCTCTCTCCTGAACAAAAAAAAAAAAAAAACAATAGTCCAGCCCATGAAGAACCAATACAAATTTGTGTGGTTCCAAGCTTTTGTCGCTTAAAGAGAAAGCCAAGCGGACATAGATCATGGAAAGTAGGGGTACGGTGTGGAGCTACATACAAGTCCATATCGAACAAAGCTAGCCGGCCTCTTCTGTTCTAATTGGCTAAGGTTAGAATACGCCTAACGCACAATAGTCCAGCCCATGAAGAATCAAGACAAATTTGTATGGTCCCAAGCTTTTGTCGCTTAAAAAAGAAAGCCAAAGCGGACAGAGATCATGGAAAGTAGGGGTACGGTGTGGAGCTACATACAAGTCCATACCGAACAAAGCTAGCCGGCCTCCTCTATTCTAATTGGCTAAGGTTAGAATACAAACTCCCCTTATATATATATATATATATATATATATATATATATATATATATATATATATATATAAATTGTGACATTTTTACACTTCCCATGAAGGCAATTTCATTCCGTAGTAGTGAACGAAACTCTACTAATTTTCTTACTCATTATACATTCATGAATATTCCCAAGCCTTAGTGCCATTATATATTACGAGCATTATGGTTTCATCATTCATCGAACTAATTTGATTTCACTAACACTAATTCTGGGTATTTTTTTTTATTACTACTGACTCTATTATGATGTAGTATCTGTGACGGATATTTTTAAGTCTAAAATCAAACAATTGTAAAATTTTCCTTTTAGTGCAAAATATTCTATATACATATCATTTTGAATAGATTACTTTGTACATATAACATGATAATATGAGATTACGACTCTTGGGTTGATAGCATATGAGGGAAAGCGATCTAATTTGTATATCAAACAAATATGTTATAATGAATTGTTTTAAAAGCAAAGATAGAGGGATGAGGTTACAACTCTTGAGCTTGGAGATATATCTTTAAAGAAAGAAATAGGGGGATTAACTAGTTTACCTAAGAGCGATATTTATGCATATTTTCAGATTGTCATACAAAAGAGAATGAAAAAGATTTGAGTGCATTAGGGGTGTGAATTAATTTTTGTTTGAGATTATGTCTCCTAATTGGTTAATTGTTATAATTTTTTTTTTAAAAATAATTGTTAAGTAGTAGTACGTCATTTTAACGTTAATATTAAATAGCCCTCGGGGCTTGAACGTGATGTCTTAACCGGGTTAAAAACTGACTTTGCTTAATTCGGACCACAGTTCTGTGAACAAAGAAAATTGAATAAAATATTTAATATCCAAAATTCTGGTTACATTGAGTATCAAATGCGGTGTAGGTACAAGTCTCTGGATAGATCCTCTGATTCTTCAATTGATGTCTTGAACACTCCACCATTGAAGGGCCTCCGGGTTTCAAGTGGCTTGATCTTCAAAGAAGGGCTTGTATATATAGATTGTTCTTCTTGAAGGGCCTCTGGGTTCAAATGACTTGATCTTCAATGGAGGTTTGGATCAATAGGCATACGCATGATCATTATGGAGGAGGGACTTCTACTTTCAGTAGCACATTTTTATTGTGATCCTGAATAATATTTTTCTAGATGATTACATCACTTTTCCTAGGATGTGTGATTACATAAAAATGAAAGACTCTATTTATAGCTGTAGGATAGAGAGTTTTGATAAGCTCAAACTCTTTTGATATTATCTAATTAACAAATTAGATAATATCAATATTATCCAAAATATATTCAAATATACTAATATTGATAAATAATCAATATTTATCAAAATTTAAGTGTCTACAAATGCCCCTTCAAGACTTGCTTGTACACCACTTGAGAGCATATAACACTCGAAAGTATGTAGTGCAAGAAAGTCTTGACACTACAACTTAAAGATATAAGGTCGTTTCAACTCGTGCCAAGGAGCCTTGAAAGATATGAGGCCGTTTAAACTCGTGCCAAGGAGTCTGAATATAAGGCCGTTTAAACTCGTGCCAAGGAGTATCGTTTAGCTTCCTCCGTTTCAAATTTCATACAGGGTTTGCCCCCATATCGATTGAAAGTGCCTATGAAGAGATGAGAGGCAGAGTTGTCCCACTAGGCGTGCCAATTTGTGAACAAAGAAAATTGAATAAAATATTTAATATCCAAAATTCTGGTTACATTGAGTATCAAATGCGGTGTAGGTACAAGTCTCTGGATAGATCCTCTGATTCTTCAATTGATGTCTTGAACACTTCACCATTGAAGGGCCTCCGGGTTTCAAGTGGCTTGATCTTCAAAGAAGGGCTTGTATATATAGCTTGTTCTTCTTGAAGGGCCTCCTGGTTCAAATGACTTGATCTTCAATGGAGGTTTGGATCAATAGGCATACGCATGATCATTATGGAGGAGGGACTTCTACTTTCAGTATCACATTTTTATTGTGATCCTGAATAATATTTTTCTAGATGATTACATCACTTTTCCTAGGATGTGTGATTACTAAGGGTGGGCGTCGGTTCGGTTCGGGTGATACCCGAAATTTATTTCGGGTATCCGAAAATTTCGGGTGATATTTTTGACACCCGATATCCGAACTAAATTTAATTCGGATATGTTCGGTTCGGATGAAATTATTTCGGATTTACTTCGGGTTAGTTTGAATATACCCAAAATATTGTTTTATCAATTTTGAGTTTTTTTTTAAATAAATTTATTATTTTATTATTTATATTTTTTCATATACTATCAAACTAAAAATAAGATAAATACTAATAATGAACTAATAGACTTTAAAAAATTAATGTATTATTAATTATGAAATACATTTAAAATTAAATATATAAATTATATTATTATATTTATAATAAAATTTCGGTTAGTTCGGGTTTCGGGTCGGGTATGGATAAATTTTTAACACCCGATATCCGAATCGAATTTATATTCGGATATACCAAATTTTAAAATATCCGAACCGATAACTATTTGGGTTCATCCAAAATTTAAAATTCGGTTCGGGTTTCGGGTGTTGGTTCGGATAATCCGAATTACGCCCACCCCTAGTGATTACATAGAAATGAAAGACCCTATTTATAGCTGTAGGATAGAGAGTTTTGATAAGCTTAAACTCTTATTAACAAATTAGATAATATCAATATTATCCAAAATATATTTAAATATACTAATATTGATAAATAATCAATATTTATCAAAATTTAAGTGTCTACAAGTTCAAAAGACGAATTTGCCCCTTAGATTAAACACTAATTGATGAATTATGTTTTTCCGACAAAATTTGACCGGAAATTTGGCCGGAGTGACCAAAATTGATAAAAAAAAATTGCATAGTCAAGGTATTAAATTAAAACTTTTGAAAGTCGTGGACTGCAATTAACAGGACCCCTATAGTCACGAGACCAAAATTAAAATTTACTCAAAATATTATTAAGATTACATCTCACCATTCATACACGAATTGTTGGTAGATGAGATAAATTAAGGGATGTGTCTCAATCGGTCCACGAGCCACTAAATACTTATACACTAGTATGTACAATAAAGTTAATTTTATACCTTTTTTTAGTAGGAATTGAATCCTACATTTGCTAGCAAAACAAAGCTATATTAATAAGTTGATATTGTGGTAAAATGGATAAAATTATACTTGATTATTGTTTAAAGAATTAACACCATAAATGGCTATTGGAATTCAAGAACCAAAAACAACCTTAAGTCGTTGACTATGTATTTGTTACTTGATTTAGGGTTTTTTTTTTTTTTTTGAATAAATTTAGGGTCTATTTAAAAACAAGCAAACAATCAAAATAAAAATAAAAATAAAGATTTCTGAAAATAATCTTTCAAAATTTTCAGTGTTAACTATTTGAGAAAAATAAAATTAACATAAAATTCTCACTCTAGTCAACTGAAAGAAAACTTATTTTGGCAAAATATGTCTTCTAACATTTATTTTACTTGTAAGACATTTTAAGGATCTCTTTTTCACACTCATCGCTCTTTCTCTGAATGGCGTCAGATGACTGACTCTGTGCAACCATTTGTCCAGTTACTATTTAGATTGGACTAAACTAGCCTAATTGGTGGAAAATTATGTTGTGCATCCGTATACCATGCATGGTGCATACAGATGCAAAAACGACGTCGTTTTGCATCAAAACGCGCGTCCTACTTAGAAAAAATCAATTTCGATTCCCAGTAACAACATTATGTTGTTCATTTTTTAGTTCATTCATTCTGAATTTTTAGTTATGAAATTATGGATGTGTAGGTATGCAATTCTGAATTTATAGTTATGAAATTATGGATGTGTAATTATGCATGGTGTAGTTATGCAATTCTGGATTTTATAGTTATGAAGTTATGGATGTATAGTTATGCAATTTTGGATGTATAGTTATGCAATTCTGGATGTATAGTTATGAAGTTATGGATGTGTAGTTATGTAATTCTGGATTTATAATTATGAAATCATGGATGTGTAGTTATGTAATTCTGGATGTATAGTTATGAAATTATGGATGTGTACTTATGCAATTCGGATTTTTTTTTTTTTTTTTTTAAGTTAGACGTCAAAACGACGTCGTTTTTGCATCAGTATGCACTATGCACGGTGCATATGAATGCACAGCATAAGGATTGCTAGTTGGTTGGATTGGCTTAGACAATCAAAAATCTTGATCTAGCCTAGCCCTAATTGTTTAAAAATTAAGTTATTACTTTTTTCTTAAATTTCTTATTTTAGAGTTATTAGATTTATTATTTTAAAATAAATAATAGTATATAATAAATAACTTTGTAATAAATTCCCTTTCATTTGTTTGAAAAATAAATCAAACACAAAAGATTATTTTATGACATTTAATTAAACACAAGAGAATGCAAATGTTTTTCAAAAAATACTTTTTCATAAATCATTTTCAGAAAATATTTTATAAATTTTCAAATACATCATTATTTGGCAAATTATATCGTGCACCAAGGCGCACAATATATATATATATATATATATATATATATATATATATATATATATATAAGAGCGCTCATATGTGGTCATGTCATTAGGTGTGGCGGTGTGGTCATATTTGTGTCGTTGAACCAGTTTAATCTAACGGCAGTTGCTAATTCTGAGGATTTGAGGATTTTCGCGTGTTTTGGTAAGTGGGGGTGTTATGGTAATTATAGTGGCCATTTATGGCGGCCGGGTTCCAGAAGACACCAACAGTGTTGACAACATGCACCAATAGTGTAATAAAATACACCATAGTGAAACACACCAATAGTGTATTCTCGAACGCTGTATGGTGTATTTATTCATATCTAATGGCTCGTTTTGGTGATGCGTACCTAATTTGTGTATGCTTTTTTGCTGTGCATTTCATAACATAGATGGTGTATATTTGTATAACAATTGGTGCGGTCGCACTGACCACACAGGAAGGCGTTGCTGCACCTGAACTTGGCACCAATGGGAATCTACAAGTATACTAGAGTAAGGCTAATAATGCACCAATTACACAAATAAAACACACAACAATATGATTTCCCTTATTTCGGTTCCCTAAAACGAGTTTACCTTTGCAGTTCGCTGGGTAGGAGAACGTGCACGAAAATACTTGAATAATTTTGATTAATGTGATTCATTGAATCTATGTACTCTAACGACCTGTAATTGATCATATGACCACATATATATATATATATATATATATATATATATATATATATATATATATATATATATATATATATATATATATATATATAGGGAAGGGTTCAGGTGCGGGTATAGCTTCCCGTGCGATTGTGCGGTTAAATCTGAGCAGTTGATCAAATTTAGATCAATGGCTCAAATCAATGAAAATTATAAAAAAAAAAACGTGTGCCTGGAACAAAGAAGTATAAGCTAAGGTGCACCTTAAGTGTTAGATCTGAATCACAAACTCACGCACTTTAAGTACAAAACCCACACACATTAAGCACAACCTCACGCACATTAAACACAAAATCCACGCACTTTAAATATTAACTCACAGACTTTAAGTTTCAACAACTACTGACATTAAGTACAAAACTCACGCACATTAAGTACAAAACCCACGCACATTAAGCACAAACATCACGCACATTTAGCACAAAACTCACGCACTTTAAGTATTCACTCACAGACTTTAAGTTTTAACAACTATTCACGTTAAGAACATCTCCACGCACATTAAGCACAAACCTCACGCACATTAAGCACAAAACACACGCACATTAAGCACAAAACTCACGCACATTAATCACAGATCCGCTCACCTTAATTTTGACCTAGATGCAAAAATTACAAAATTGCCACCGCGTTTTTTTAAAAATTTTGATAATTCTGAAAGTTGATTAAAGCGAGATGAATGGCTAAGATTAAACCGCACAACCGCACCTGAAGCCCTCACCCGCACGAGAACCTATATATATATATATATATATATATATATATATATATATATATATATATATATATATAAAGAGAAATGGTGAAAAGGGTGAAAATGCAATAATAGTGGATGACGAAAACTGAAATTTTCCTCTTTGTAAAAAGTAGACTGTCTTTCAGCATCCTCTCTGTCTCAGATTCGCTTCAATCTTCATTTCTCTCTCATCATTCGATAAGAGAGCCTCTTCTTTCTGAGGATTGAGGCCTGTTACTGTTAATCCTCAGCTTCTCATCCAATAGGTTCTACCAAATCTCTTCTTCTATTATTATTATTTCATTTCGCATACATACTTATGCTCGTATACCCTTTTTTGGATTCAATTATACTCTGATTTCGATTCTTTCCTGGATCGCATGCTTATAATCTTTACAATCGGCTTCCAATTTAAGATTGCTGTGTTTGATCTGAGCTTATGGTTTCTTCTTTTAATCCAATTGTTATTCTGGGGTTTCTCTGTAATTATCTTTTGGTTGCCGAGTTTGAATTGGCTCTTGTGAATCTCTGGTGCTTTTTTCGTCTTGCTTCCTTGATAGGTTAGTTGCTACCCAGTTGGAGTATCAGGATTAGGAGAGAGAGAGATATATAGTTGAGGCTGAACTCTTATAAATAGCTCTTCCGATTTCTAAGCCCTACTTCAGTAAGAAATTGTCATTTATTTTTTCTTGGGGTAGGGGGTTATATTGAAGCACATAATTACCAGCTGGAGTTGTATGCTTGAAATCTCTGGTTGTGAGTGGTTGAATTTGAGAGGATGGGTTGTTTATAATTGTTTATGAGAATAGATTATATGCTTTTGAATCAATGATTGGTCTTTAAATATAATTCATAACATGAAGAAGACTTAATTCCTTTGCCCAGGTAATGACTTTTACTAAGAAGATGTTGAAGTTTTTCCTGAGATAGGCTGTGCATTCAATCTCATTCTAACTTGTTTGGCAAAAAAAACTTTTTTTTTCTTGTGTTAATGATGTGCTGGTGAATCTGAAACAGTGCATTTTGAATGACAACGCTGCTGTTCCATCTATGTTGACAGAAAAAGTTGGATTGATAATATGTTATCTCTTGCAGAGACCATGATTAAGTTATTTAAAGTTAAGGAAAAGCAAAGGGAGCTTGCTGAAAATGCAAATGGGAAGCCACCAGTGAAGAAGCAAAGTGCAGGAGAATTGCGTCTTCATAAAGGTTATTCCTTTTGCTGGTTCCCCCTCCCGCTCTCTATTTGGTCTTAGCTTTCATCACATGATCAAGTTGCAAACTCATGAACTTGTTCCGTCGTTTTGCTTTCCATGTGGCTACAATGATATTTGTCATAGTTATCTACAAGTTCTGTTCTTTGATTCATTCGTTTCTGCTTTCTACATCTCAATAATTTATAGCTGATCCAAACGAATAGTTTGATGCTTTGATTTTTGACTGAAAAGTTGAGGGAGAAATTATCCCTTTGGTTTACATATTGAACAATTCGCAGTGATGCTAATTGGTAAAGTGATCATTAACATCTAATCCTTGCCCATACCCAACTTGTCTTTTACTCTAAAAAAGTTCAATTGTGCAAGCAGTTTTTTATCAGGCCTTGATCTTAATTTATCATCATTATTTACACCCATTCTATCTATCGAAGAGTTAAAACTCATCATTAACCAAGTGGGAAACTGAGTGCAAGCATATTCTAAAGGATTTGAACTATCTCTTTCTGCAATTGCTAGGAGTATTAAGTCTGCATAGCTAAATTCCTCAAATTTACATGGTGATGTTGATGTTCATACATACAGATAAAAAAAGAAGAATGTTACTTAATTTACGTGGTGATGTTGATGTTCATGCAATCATGTATACAGAGAAAAAAGAAGAATGTTACTTTCCTTGGTGCTGAAAGCCTGAAATGATATTGAAACATTCATTTCTGTGCATTTTATAGTGTATTAACAAATTTATCTTCTTTTACTGGTAAACTACTCTTTTAATACTCTTTAGCAAAGTGTTGTGAAGTTGACTCTGCTTGTCATTCACTTCAAATCCTAAATTTAGTGGATAAAACTAACATTCATTTGGTTTTTGTACTTTCTGTAGATATAAGTGAGTTAAATCTACCAAAAACATGTAGTATATCATTCCCTAATGGCAAAGATGATCTAATGAACTTTGAAGTTACCATTAAGCCCGATGAAGGATACTACTTGTAAGTATTTCCTTCTGTTTCTCAAATCGGCACCTTCCAATATATTTTGGTATTTAATAAAATCCATTGTACTCAGAGGTGGCACATTCGTATTCTCTTTCCATATTTCTCCTATATATCCTCATGAAGCACCAAAGGTTAAATGCAAGACGAAGGTATGTTCTAGAGCTTTACTTATTACGTCTTCTAAAATTCCTCTTAATCATCGTACTCGTAATAAAACTGGCTTACTTCAGGTTTACCATCCAAATATTGACTTGGAGGGAAATGTCTGTCTTAACATTCTTCGAGAAGACTGGAAACCTGTGTTGAATATTAACACGATAATATATGGCCTGTATCATCTCTTCACGGTAATGCCACACTAGCAAATTGTGATTCTAACCCATTGTGCTCTTCAAAACCAAAAGAGAGCTCCAGTGATAACCGGAACTTGTATCCATTCAGGAACCCAATCACGAGGATCCTCTTAATCCAGACGCTGCTGCTGTGTTGAGGGACAACCCAAAGTTGTTCGAGTCCAATGTGAGAAGGGCGATGGCAGGAGGATACGTGGGACAGACATTCTTTCCTCGGTGCGTATAGAGTGAGTCCCTGCCCGGTGCTGTAAGGTCAGAAAGTATTGTGAAGAAACATCTCGTGGGTGGATTCTGCAATAGATTGGGTGCGCTTTTTCTTTATATCTATGCATAAATGAGACCCTGCAGAAAGCTGTTGATTGTATGCTATGTGATGACTTATTTGGGTAAATTATTTGTAAGAGATTCAAAGTTTTTAGACCTCTGCTTGGATGAATTTGCTTATTAACCCTGCTTGCACCTCTTTTCCTCATTCTTACCCAGTCTCATCAGTTTATTCTTTGCTTATACAAATATTGCTTAAAATTCCATTACTCATTCTAGTGGTGAATTTGATTTGTTATGAACTAAATTAGTCACTTTGATTGAAAAACTCCAGTTTAGTTCATTTGGAAATTTGATTAGTTTGGTTTAACTAATTTTACCGAATGAACACCCGATTGTTATACCATTGAGCAGGGTTCATATTGCACTACGGACCCTAGTTCATGTGTGTGTTTTGTGTTATGACTTTTTGTGTCTTGTGTTATGAAATTCTGTACCTTATAAGTCTGAATTATATACTTGGAACAAATTAGTACTTGTGTCTTATCTTATTAATTTATGTGTCTTGTGTTGTGTAATTTTGTACCTATAAACACAAATTATGTACTTAAATCAGATTTAAAAATATACAGATATACAGAGTATACATTTTCTATAGTTTAAAAAAAAAAAAAAAAAAAAACCTTCTATAGTTTTTTTTAGAAGTTATAAATTTTCTATAGTTATACATTGATCATTTATAACGAAACAATAATTGTTTATTTTAAGTTTCCTTATTATATAAACAAAAACAATGAATTAGCAATCCTTTTTATATAATTCCATTCTCTAATCAATACCCTATCCATTAGATTCTCACATTTCTAGATTTGTAGCAAACATAACCCCATGTGCTATGTCTCATTGGGTCCCATGCTGACGTGGCGAATGGGATTGGCCTTTTGACCACCCCAGGATCTAATAACAAATAATTTTATAATCACTTGTGCGTTTGAGCTCTTTAGAGCGATTCCAAGAGTATAAATTTCTTTTTGGCTAAACTTTTACAGGTTAACTAGAGACAGAAAATAAAAGGAAGAAAAAGCAAAAATAATAAAAAAAAAATCATTTACGCGAGCCCAATTTCTGAAAAAGTTTTTTTTTTTTTTTTTTTTTTTTTTTTTTTTTTTTCAGGATAAAAAATTTGGGGTGGAATTTATTGTAATTTTTTCTCCTGCAAAAACTAATTTTTTTGTGAAGTCCATTGAATGGGGGTGAGGGGATAAGAGAAAGTTGCCGCGTAGTTGCGCGTGTGGGAAACTGTCTTACCCAGGGTGGGCACGTTAATATATATATATATATATATATATATATATATATATATATATATATATATATATATATATTTGGTCTGACAACGAATTCTTTTTTTTTTTTTCCTTCTTATTTTCTCTCTCAATTGAATTGAAAAAACCCGAGTCTTGGAGTTGTTCTAAAGAGCTCAACAACGCACAAGGGATTAGAACATTATTTTTTATTAGAAAAATGTTATTTTAGTAACTCAATTTTTTTTAGTTGTTTTAATTTTAATTTTTTCGATGTAATATTTTTCAAATTTTCAAAAATGTTATAATTTTAGTATGTAGAGCAATAAATTAAAACTATTAAACTTTTTAGGGGTTTATTTAGTGTATGTGTATTTTAATAATTTGTTATATTTCTTCTTCAGTTAAAATCCTTTTCAATTATTTATTATTATTGTCAAGTTGGCATTTGAGATGAAAAAAAAAACTTGTTTGATATGCGAAGTTAACGAATTTAATCACTTTATTAAAATAATTTTTTTGTCATCACTGAATTTATACAACTTTTTAGTTAAGCATTTTATTTAGAGAAAAAATCTCTAAAATGACCATATTTTATAAAATAATAATAATAATAAAATAACTATATCCAAGTGATACATGTGAGAGCAATCCCATAAATAATAAATAAAAAGGACTTTTATTAGTTATTTGTAGAATGACTCTAACACATCCCGGTTGAATATCCCTCTCCTCTTTAAGTTGTTTGCCAATGTGGGACATCGATCAAAGAAAAGTAGAGCTCATTTTGACATCGGCTAACAATTAAACTAGCAACTAAACACAAAGGAATAAAGTTTAAATTGGTTAATAAATGTAACATAAAATTGTAATCAAGCTACTGAACATCTAAATGTGTGCAATTTCACTTCATAGTACGTTACCATCCATTTCTTCCGGTTGTATACTTGTATGGTAACTTGTTATCAGGTGAAATTGCATACATTTAGGAGGCTAACAATTAAACAAGCAACTAAACACAAAGGAATAAAGTCCAAACTAGTCAATAAATGTAACATAAAATTGCAATTAGACAACTGAACAACCCAAATGTGTCCAATTTCACTTGATAATGATGAACGTACTTTCTGTGAATTCAATAGTAACAAGTTACAGAGATACAAAAGACATAGAAGTCTCAGGCCTAACTAACCCTATACAATAGGCTACAGTTAAAGACTAAATCAAATACAAACATATATAAAGAATGTAACAAAATAACATACTAAACATAACATGTCTAACACACCCCCTCAAGCACAAGGTATGTGAGACACAACATTGAGCTTGTCCCTCAGAGCACTGAACCGAGCTGCAGGAAGCGGCTTTGTGAAGATATCAGCTACCTGGTCCTTCGTAGAGATAAAATTAACCAAGAAGTCTTCGGATGCCACATTGTCCCGAACAAAGTGATAGTCAATTTCCACGTGCTTGGTCCTGGCGTGAAAGACCGGATTTGCACACATGTAGGTAGCACCTAAATTATCACACCACAGAGTAGCTAGTGAACCAGAATGAAGACCCAGTTCCCGAAGTAGAGAGACAACCCAAGTAACCTCTGCTTCCACGTCAGCTAAGCCCTTGTACTCCGCCTCAGTAGACGAACGGGCGACTGTCCTCTGTTTACGGGATACCCACGAAATGAGATTCGAGCCTAGGAAAGCAGCATATCCACTAGTCGACTTCCTGTCAATAGGACAGCCAGCCCAGTCGGAGTCGGAATAAGCATGCATGTCTGAGGATGGTGACGCAGTCAGCCGCAACCCATGCGTGAGAGCCCCCTTGATGTAGCGTAGTACCCGCTTTAGGAGACCCCAATGTTCCTCAGTCAGGGTATGCATAAACTAGCACAACCGGTTGACTGCGCCGGCCGGCGAGAACTCATCCGCCAAAATGAATTCCTGGGCTTGTAAAAAATCCATGGATCTGAACTCCGGCCGTAGGCCTCGGAAGACGTACAGGTTCTGTTCATCTAACGAGACGGGGCGTCCGGCCAACGCGAGATCCTCCACCAGAAGCTGGGCTCGGCCAAGGTACTCTCCGGGCGAGCTGTCTCCTTGACGGAGAGATTGAAACTGAGCCAGAAGGTTCAGGCAGCGTGCCCTCGTCGACGACCCAAGCAAGGTACATTACCTCGTCAGACAAGGAGGAGATGAGAAGGCTTAGGATCGACTGATCCAGTTGAATCCAATGGGTGTGTGCCGGATTTGGAACGGGAGTGGCCGTCGTTTCACCGGAGGCAGCATCACTGGCAGACGGATCTAAGATTATCGCTGGCGGGCATGGCGTGGCTCCATCAACGTATCCCAACAGCCCTTGTCCACGGAGAAAGGGAATTAATTGAGTCATCCAGAAAAGAAAGTTGTTTCGGGTAGAGTTTTGTGGTGGTTGATGGTGGCATGGTGGCGGCTGTCACCGTGCGTTCACTAGAGTTGGTCGACATCTTTTGGAAGGAAAGAGTAAAAGGATCACCTGTGGCTAACTGATACCGGATGAACGTACTTTCTGTGAATTCAATCGTAACTTGAATGAAATACAAACATATATAAATAATGTAACAAAATAACATACTAAACATAACATGTCTAACAATAATAGGTTACCATCCATTTTTTTCGATTAGATAATAATCTGGTATCAAATGAAATTGCATACATTTAGGATGTTCAATGGCCAAATTAAACCTTAAAAGAGGAGAATTAACTCCTTTTTACATCAACCAATAACCATGAAAAAAGATATCCTCTCCCCTTTTTGGTTGCTTAGCAAGCAAAAAACATATAAAGAGGGAAATCTTCCCCTCATTTTTGATTGCTTGCCGATGTGGGACATCAACCAACAATAGCAATTTTTTTTTTTTTTTTTTTTGTGTCAGTTTTGTTATTATAAAGATTATTTATTACTTGTAATTATTACGTAGTATATAATTAATAAATTATATCTTTTATAAAATAAAAATAAATTGGTATTATAAAAGATACACATACCTTTATAATTCTTTTTATATGGTAATCATTAACAATGAATATTTAATTTTATCAAACAACTTTCCACAAATAGCTAATATAATCCACATATTAACTGTTAACACACTTCTCTTTCTGCTAATTACCAAATAAAGTCAAATTTAACAAAAAATTATGTACTCCTTAGGCAATGTTGCATGAATTATTTAAATGCCATATATCAATATAAATAAGTGTACCCAAAAAAAACCATTCATTTTATGTTGTTTGGTTGGATGGAAAACTTTTTCCATTTTCTTAAGAACAAGGAAAACAAATTCCTAGCTTATGCTAGGTATTTTGTTTTCCATGGAAAACCTTTTCCATGGAAAATTAATATGACAATTTTATCCTCATCATTCTTTATTAATTACTCTTATTATTATTATTATATTATTATTATTATTGTGTAGGGTTATATTTGTCATTATACTCATTATTCCTTACCCTTCCAAACTCAACCAAACAATAGAATTCATATTCCCAATAATTTCTTTTTCACCAACCAAACAATAAAATCTGTTTTCTTAAAATTTATTTTCCATGGAATTTCAATTCCATTTCCCTTCAAATATTTTCCAGCGAACCAAACGAGCTCTTAGGGTATATATACCCCCAACGGAAAGCGGCAACCAAAATACGGATAAAAGACGACACGCCCATCCTTCTAAAAGCAAGAGCTTCCGGGAGGGAGGTGGGAGCCTATTTCTCGTGACCACTCCACGCCTGCGACTCTCTCTCTCTCTCTCTCTCTCTCTCTATATATATATATATATATATATATACTCACACAGGCAGAGATTGAGAGAGCGCGTACTAGAGAGAGAGAGAGAGAGAGAGTTAGATAGAGTGGAAATGATGTGGGAGCCTGGAGGATCAGCGGGATCATTGTCAGAAGCTGGCGGCGGAGCGGGAGGGGGAGAGACGGGAGCTGGCGGGGGGAGCGGGAGCGGGAGGAGGAAGCCGTCGTGGAGGGAGAGGGAGAATAACAGGAGGAGAGAGAGGAGGAGGAGAGCCATGGCGGCGAAGATATACACAGGGTTGAGAGCTCAGGGGAACTACAATCTCCCCAAGCACTGTGACAACAACGAGGTTCTCAAGGCGCTGTGTGCTGAGGCTGGCTGGATCGTCGAGCCCGATGGCACCACCTATCGCAATGTCCTCTTTCTGCTTTCTTCGTCCTTTTCTTACTCGATTCATTTGGGGTGCCAATGTTATTGAAATGAATTTCTGTGTTTTAGCTTGGATTTAGTTGGATCCGGAGCTTATTGGACTAATTTAGCTCTGTTTAGACCGAGATTGCTGATATCTGATTTCTTTTTGAGCAGATGATAGCTGTTTCGAGCTAGGTTTCAAGGGAATTGAAGTGTAATTTCTCTTTTCTAGATGATTCTTCTTTTGGGGTTTTCGAGTATTTAGTTAAGAAACCCTTAATTGCAGATAAAATAAGCATGAGATTGGGGTGGGGGCTGAAATTGAGCTAAGGGTGAAGAAATTGAATAGTCATGCACAAAAATTGGAAATCTTGATAGTCGGGGACCTAATTTTGGAAGGGGTATTATAGTAGAGGAATCAAAAGTGGAAAAAACTCGTTTCGTAATAAGTATCTTTGGTAGTTCTAGTATTTAGCAGATGCCAGTACGTCACTTTACTGTTTCTTGAAAAGATGTATCTCTAAAATGCAAGTTCCATGATCAGTTCATGCTCTGGTGTCTTTGTGGTTTCTCAATCTTCTCCCAAGTTTAACAATTAGTGTCTTTTTGATGTTTTTGTGATTGTTCTAGTTGCTGATGACTGGTGTTATATGCTCAAATTTTTCATGTTTGGTACTCTTGGTATGTAGAGTAGTTTGGCTAATTTGATTGTTTGATGAATTGCCAAGCAGGGAGGGAGGCCAACCCCAATGGAGATTGGAGGCACTTCAACCAACATCACCCCAGGCTCTTCCAGGAATCCTAGCCCGCCATCTTCATACTTTGCTAGTCCTATTCCGTCTTACCAACCCAGTCCCTTATCGTCCTCTTGTCCGAGTCCAACCCATGGTGATGCCAATGTGTCACCGTATCCTTTTGCTTTTCTCCGTAATTCCCTCCCTCCCCTACGGATATCAAACAGTGCTCCTGTAACGCCACCTCTGTCTTCACCAACCAGAGTTCATAAGCCAACTTTCAATCTGGAGAATTTGACCAAAGAGTCCATGTCTGCCCTCAACATTCCTCTCTTCGCTTCTTGCCCCACCAGTCCAACTCGTGGCCATCGCTTCCCTGCTACTATTCCAGAATGCGACGAGTCAGAAACATCCACTGTTGATTCAGAGCAGTGGATGAGCTTACAGAAGTGTGGCCCTAATGCAGTTCCTACTTCCCCTACTTTCAATCTCGTGAAACCAGTTGCTCAGCGAATTCCTCCTAACAGCATGATGTTCGATAAGGGTAAAAGCATCGATTTTGGGTTTGAGAATGTGGCAATGAAGGCGTGGGAAGGGGAAAGAGCCCACGAGGTTGGATTGGACGATCTGGAGCTCAAACTTGGAAACGGCAGTACTCGTATATGAGAGAGGCTCATCAAAGAGATCTGCTCTGCATCTTGCAGAAACAATTCAGATAGCGCATTTCTGTGTTTCTTTTTAATTTAAATACAGCAAAAATTAATAGGGTACTTTCAGTTTTCCCATGTGAAAATGTAGATTGTGAACTCAACTGCTTTCTAGGGTTTGAAATCTCTCGTGTTAATGAATGATGGTCTTCAATTGGTTAATTCTTTTTTATGATATCATTTCCTCTTCTTTCCATTTCCTTAATGCCTGTTTTGTCTACAAATGCTCAACAGCTTTGGCTGCCACAATCTTTGACTTACAGGAAAGTTCGTAGCCGCTATCTGAAAGTGCGTTCAACTGCTTGCAACCACTACCTGAAGGTGCATTTAGCTGCTTGCAGTCACTATCTGAAGGTGTGCTCAGTTGTTGCAATCTTGTTCAACACAATCTTGTTCAACAAAACTATGATTCGCAGAACAAATAGAAGTACAAACATACAAATTCTTTGATAAGTTTAATGAAAGAGCTCAACATACATACATATAATACAAGTGTTCAAAATACTGACAGACATGAACAAACATACACTGCTTATACATGAGAAATCCAATCAAGCCGTAGTTTTCTTGCTATTCCTAGACTTCACTCGGTTAACTTATATCGCGATGGAGGATTGAATCAATGAATTCTGTTAATGCTAAACTAGATGGTTTCTGCTACTTACTCATACTGTCAATTTTAAGTTCAGCACTTACTTCAGATGTTCAATGACTGCTTTGCTGTTCGTGCCTGTTTTTTCTTCAGTTTCTCCTCGGGCGACAGCCTTTTCGAGCATCGGTTTTGATTTCACGACGCTATTGCTGCTGCATTCATTATATCTGAAGCATGTAACGAGATGATCGTTAACTAGCCCCGCTGCCTGCATGAACGAGTATATCACAGTAGGCCCAACGCAGCAGAAGCCTCTCCTCATTAAATCCTTGCTTATGAACTCAGATTTTGGCGTTTTAGCTGGTATCTGGCGTGCGTACTGGAACCTGCCTCGTAGAGGTTGATGGTTTACAAAACGCCAGCAGTAGTTGCTAAAAGATCCAAACTCTGATTGAATCTGCAAAATCGTCAACATCTCTACTCAGAAAAAATGTTGTATACATCAATCAACTCAAAAGCTGATACCTTTTCGTTTTCTTTTCAATGTTTACAGGCTCGATGCTATTACCTTCAGCAGCTGCTTAGCGTTCTCTACAATGGCACGAAGCTTTGCTTCAGACAGCAATCTGTTCCCGTTACCTATCATCAGCTTCTTCTCATCAAGATTTGCTACATAGGATGGATCAAAGCTGTTAAACAGCCTCCTGCAAGCCATTGACATGATCTGTTGTTAGAAATGTGACAGAATTGAAGTTGAAAAGTTTCAGAGTTTTGGTGAACCTGAGTGCTTCTCTCCTGTCAAGGATTACTGGCCAGGTAAGTTCAGCCAATGCTTGTGATAAAACAAGAAGTTCGATTAGCTTCGCGTCGTCGTGAACTGGAACTCCCCATTCTTCATCATGGAAGCAAGCATAATGTGGCTCTGCAGAATTCAAGATTCAGTTCAATTCAAGAACTGAGTAATGAAGCTTTGTTTCTCTTATTTACTTCTGTAATTTCAAACCAAACAACTAATCTTACCTTCCCAAAATCTCATATATATATATATATATATATATATATATATATATATATATATATATATATATATATATATATAAAGAGAGAATTGCACAAATTTGAATAAAAAAGTTATGGTTTTTACCTGTGTTTGGGGTTATCCAATCACAACGTTTGAGTGGGACCGGAGCCATTGGCGACATAGCCGCCGCCACAGCTCCGTCGGGAACAACCTTCGCCGGTTTATTCACATTTCCGTTAACTCTTCCCTTCGAATTCAACTTCTTCAATGTGGAGCCGCCGCAAGAAGAGGCGGACCTATCCACCGGACCGGTGCTCCGGCCGAGCACCGGACCGGGTTTCGGAGTTTCAGCGCCCAGTTTCTTAGCTCTCTCGGGTTTCATCAACCCATCTTTCTTCTTTCTCTGCTCTTCCACCTCCCGGACCCGGTTCCCCGCCGGGCCGAGTATTTCTCTCCTTTCCACCGCCGTTTTCACCTCCGTCGTCGTCGTCGTCGGCGACATTGTTAAATGGAAAATGATTCGAGCTTGGGGAACGGATAGGGAAATAGAGGAAACTCTAGGGCTAAAATTGGAAATGGAGAACGGAGCAGAGAAGTGAGAGAGAGAAGAGTGAAGTGTAGAGAGGAAGAAGACGACGGAAAAACTGACGGGGGGTTTTGGAGTTATAACGTAAACTGTTTGGATACCGGCTACCGGAAATAGCAGGTAGCTATGCTGTCGTGTCGGTTTCGTTTGCCGTCTTGCGCTTTTAATATAAACGCCAATTTTGTGCGATTTCTCGAATTTGCCACTATAAAGTATAAACTACAAAAGGGCAATCCAAAAGTAGTATGATACAAGCTTCAAGTTTCAAAATTCAAACAACATAATCTTTTTCAAGCATTTTTTTCCTTCAAATTTTAAATATTGTATCCTCTAGTTAAAGACATTTGCCATAAAGTACATTAGAGCAATCTTAATGGTTTGGTTTTTTGCTTGGTTTTTACCATGACATGTAGAAAAGATAGAGCCGAGAGAAGAGGAAAATTGAAAGAAAAAAAAAGAAAAAAAAAACAAATTCTAGCAATAAGGAAAAAAAAAAAAAGTTCTCTCACGCTCTTAGCTGGTTTAGGTTTTTGCTTAATTTTTACAATGACATGTAATATATATATATATATATATATATATATATATATATATATATATATATATATATATATATATATATATATATATATATATATATAAAAGTACATGTGCCAGTTGGGAGCCGCAGGTGCGTCAAACGCACACCTGCATTGTCTCTTTTACTCTCTAACATGTGCATAATCTCTTTCTTCTAAGTTAGCAACCCCTATCCCCAAAATTTCCATCAAAGGTGTTCTTAGAGCATTCCACTAGTTCAATTTTTTTTTTTTTTTGCTCAATTTTTTAGAATAAAAGGATGGTGTGGAGGAGAGATTAAAGGAGGGAGAAAAATAGGTTTTACTGCTAAAATATGATTTTTTTTTTATAGATTTTTATAAATATTTAAAAAAAAAAAAAAAAAAAAAAAAGAGTAGAGCTAATGCATGTTCCACGCACCCATTGTTAGGGTGAATTTTTTCTTTTCTTTTTTTTTTTTCAAAAAAAATTATTTTTACTTTTCTCTCTCTTACTTGGCACTTTAGTATGACAAAAAATTTAAAATTGAGTTCAATCATTATAGTTGTTCTTAGTGTTAAATTATAAATTTTCTTTTTAGACTTTTACTGCCATGAATAAACACATGGGAAGCTTACATTAGGAGAAATAGATTATACTCCGTATTATTCATGTCAACACCCATTAGATTTTACATGTCATATTTGATCAAATTTAATTGGAAAGTTACATGCTAGTTGGTTAAATTGCACTAATTTGATGAGAGATTCAATTGAATTTTTTTTCAATAAATTAATGATCTAATTAGTGTTTTCGAACCTAATTTCATAACTAAATATAGAGAAGAAATCCCTTTTTAAAAAAAAATAAAAAATAAAAAAATCCCAATTGAAATTTTGAAAGAGAAGGAAAGAGGGATTTGAATGGGGGTAGATTTGGAATTTGAATGAGAGAGGTGACCGGCAAGTGGCAGTAGAGAGGCTTAGGTTATGGGTCGTAGTCGGTTGGTCAGTGGGAGTGGGTTAAAAGGAGTACTCAACGTCTGGTACCCAAACACTCCCTTACCGTTACGAAAAAGAATCCAAAGCGCGCCACTACAACCATAATGGGCCCGCTTCCAACGGTTAGTAGACCTCGTCACCTGATGGGCTTGGGCCAAAAGATTTTGCAGAATATTCTTCAGATAGGCCGCTGTTATTGGACTTTTAGAAAGCCCAGGCCCAATATCTGTCTTGAGTTCTCTTTGAGTATGCAAATTACAATCATTATTGTGTGGACCATGATCTACACAAGTTATGTGGGCCATATTTTGTATATCAATAGTTATGTTGTGCAACCGTGTGCACCATGCATGGTACACATGGTTGCAAAACGACGTCGTTTTGACTAAAAATGCGCGTCCCATTTTTTTTAAAAAAATTCAGTTTCGATTCCCTTCAACAATATTGCGTTGTTCATTCATTATGGATTTTTAGTTAATTCATTATGGATATTTAGTTCATTCATTGTTGATATTTAGTTCATTCATTGTGGATATTTAATTTATTCATTCTGGATTTTTAGTTATTCATTCACTGTGGATATTTAGTTCATTCATTGTGGATATTTAGTTCATTCATTGTGGATATATAATTCAAATTATACACAAAAAATACTATTGCCGGGAATCGATCCTGAATTTTTTTCTTTTAAGTGGGACGCGCGTTTTTAGTCAAAACGACGTCGTTTTTGTAAATTTGCGTTTTGTATACTGTAATTAGGTGGAGCAAGAATGATGACATCATACTGAATGCATCCGCAAATTATATTGTGGACCAAGATCCACCATAGTCCAAAACAATCTGTAGTATGTCCATGTTCATTTTATATGTTCATAAAAATAAAGTTTAATGTACATAAATACTACATTATAGGCAAATCATGTTTAATAACATTCATCATGTACTATGTTTATAATATTTGTATATGATCATAAATCTATACCTTAATATACATAAACACTAAATTTCATGGACATTATATTTATTTTCATTACTCTATAATGTTCATAATATTTATTCTATATGTTCATTAAAACATAGCTTAATATACATAAATATTACACAATAGATAATAGGTGCATCATGAATGTAGTGTGTGGTGAATAGTGCAAATAACGTTAACTGTTTTACATTGAAATGACGTCATTTTGTACCTTTGATGCGGACTCTAGTTCACAATATAATGATTTGAATACATCCAAATGGTTTTTAGTACAGACCAACAAGCTGACCAACTTGACTGGGATTGCCAAAAAAATAAATCTGAATGGAGTTGAAGCACATTAAAAGAATGTTCAAATTTCAATTGTCATGAAGGTTTACCTAAACATAGTTCTTTATCCATTATCTACCTACACTATAAATACCATCCATGAATGGCCCCATGTAATATCTGACAAAATTCTTATATGCAAGTGAGAGAGAGAGAGAGCAAAGAATTGAATGGTTGAGATGATTACAGAAGATCAGATGCTGCTGCAGCCTATACATTGTGGTCATTGGAGTTGAGCAGTTTCTCTTCTTCATTTGTCATGTCACTCATGGAGAGCTGAATGTTGGATCTGTTGCTCATTTTAATCCACTCGTTCTCCACGCGAAAAAATGCCCACTGAAAGCGTCGGAAGATCTCCAAGGCGGTAATGGCGAACACAGTTAGGTAGTTGTGGCGGAGATGGGCGGAAAGCTTGTATGTCCACGTGCACCGGAGGATGAGGTTGCTTCCGATTACCCAAAAGAAAACCTGCAAGATCCCGAGTCACAGATAGAATCAACACTCGGGACACTTCCCCGTTAACACATCTCCTCTATTTTCTACCAAAAGCTGCTATAATTGAAGGATATGTTTCGTCTCAACTAAAAAATGTAAGCAGATAATGAGACTACACAATTATTATTTATATATATACTATGCTCAACAATTTTAATTTCAGCCAATATTCGGCCAACTCTCCCATTAATGCAAGACCAATTTAGCGGTTATGGCTATAGCCACTTATGGGAGGTTATTGACACATCAGAATTAGCTGAATGAAACATGGTTTTTTGTTTCAACCTGTAAAACGAATTAAGATATGAAGAAGACGGTCTTACCCATTTCTGTCCGTATAACATGGATGACAAGAAATTTGGTTTGCTAAATTTGAAGATGCGTGTGAAGCAACTGCCAGAAAACAAAAACAACATTGAAGTTACAATTCAAATAAGCTAGTCACGAAGATAATCATGCAAGCCATTGTATTGCAGATATGAAATAGGTTAACAAGCATATAGCTTTCTGGTGGCAAAACTATAAATAGCCCGATCACAATGTACAAGCGAAAGTGCGGAACTGATATCTAAGTTTTCGTGTATGGTGATCCTGTTGAAAAATAAAGAGTTAGGTTTATCTATAGAGTTGTGTCTGTTTATGAATAGGAGGTGTCAGTTACTAACTGGCGGGTGGTTGTTATTCTCCACCGGCCAGGCCATTCCATCTTCCAAATTCAACAGATCCAACACTTATGCACATAATTCCGAGTACTAGCTTGCACAAGGGCACCGCAGCCGGAACTCAACTAACTTGGGATAATTGAAAATTTATAAAGAGAACATTCCAAAGAGCGTATAAGAGGTGAAATTAAATCTTGACTTTATCGCTTTAATCTTTTTGGCTTTCTTGTGAACTCGCCATAGAAAATCTTCAATGGTTGCTGGAAAGATGTTACATACCTCAAGTCCCAATCTCTGGTCAGATCCCAATAGAACGAGTACAGAGAGTTCAAAACACTGGAGATTAGCCACAAAGGTCGAAAGGTGTTGACCCACTTGGCAGGAAAGACGTGATACTTTAGTGCGGAGAGAAAAATCACTGGAACTGCTGTTGAATACTTCAGAGCTGAAATCATATATAAATATGATTAATATCATAATTATATTGTAAAAGATATACAGTAAAAAGCAAGATGTGCTAGCAATATCCAGTGGCCAACTCACCCCAAAATGCACTAAGCTGTACTTAGCAGCATGGAAAAAAAAAAAAAAAAGGGAGAGTAAGGAATATACCATTAAATAGGGCAGTTTTTTCTCTTGTGTCCTTATATTGCCGAAGACATTGAAAAAGACGAAAGATATAAGGCAAAACAAGAACTATGGGAATTGCAACAGCATGGCTGCCACAAACAGAATCAGCTTCAAACCATGCAATGGTTGCCACCTGCACATGTGAGTATTTATCTTTCAGATAATTGAGGTTCAGAATTCACTTTTCCATCAATCATGTTTTTGACATGCAGGAAGAACCTCAAGAACAAAAAAAAAAAAAAAAAAATCATAGAACCTGGCGATGAACCATCCGGCAAACTGAACGCTCCAAATCTGAGAAAACCTGCATATTGAGAGCATATAAGAAAAATTTTATGAAAAGCATTCACCAAAATCTACATTACCAACAAAAATTTCTAGACCAATGAACATCTTAATGAAGCTGTAACACCAAAAATGTTTATCCTCCTTTAGGATGGTAGGAAGGAAGAGACTTTTCCTCTTTTATGGGGTTAATACAGGAATGAGGAATCGGTGACAGTCCATCAATGTCCAATAATTTTATCCATGGCTT